CAAAGGAGTCATTGACAAGACATTGTTCAAACTACAAGACGGAGAAGATCTCCTGTTAGTCCAAATCTATGTGGACGACATCATATTTGGCTCAACTAAGGAAGATCTCTGCACCAAGTTCTCAACCCTCATGCAAGGAAAATTTGAGATGAGCATGATGGGGGAACTCAACTACTTCCTTGGCCTTCAAATCAAACAGAGAAGTGAAGGGACTCTCATCAACCAAGCCAAGTACACAAGGGATCTTATCAAGAAATTCAAAGTTGACCAGAAGTCATCCGTTTCTGTACCCATGAGTACATCCACCAAGCTTGATATGGATGTAGATGGAAAGGATGTAGATCAAACTCTCTACAGAGGAATTGTTGGATCTCTACTCTACCTTACTGCAAGTCGACCGGATATCTCATATGCAGTAGGTGTTTGTGCCAGATTCCAGTCAAAGCCAAAGGAAAGTCATCTGATAGCAGCTAAAAGAATTCTTAGATACCTCAAAGGAACTTAGAACATGGGTTTATGGTATGCTAAGAGCAATTCATTTGAGTTAGTGGGATACTCAGATTCTGACTTTGCCGGATGCAAAGTTGACTGGAAAAGGACATCTTGTACTTGTCAATTCATTGGCGGAAATCTTGTTTCTTGGTTCAGTAAGAAACAAAACTCCATTTCTATATTAACAGCAGAAGCAGAGTACATTGCCGCTGGTAGTTGTTGTGCTCAAATTCTGTGGCTGTAGCAACAACTACTGGACTATGGAGTCAAGACAAAGGAAGTGACAATCTTTTGTGACAATCAAAGTGCTATAGCCATCTCACAAAATCCAGTGCATCATTCTCGCACTAAGCACATTGATGTCAAGCATCACTTCATCAGAGATCATGTGGAAAAGAAAGATATCAAAATTGAGTATATATCTCAACTGAAAAACAACTGGCGGATATCTTCACAAAACCACTAAGTGAAGCCAAGTTTTCTGATTTGCTTCACAAAATTGGTCTAATTCAATTAGACTGAGTGAGGTACACGTGGCAGTTCGTTTTCCACGTATGTCAAAATGGTGGGTGGGGACGTGGCCTTGGGAACAGTTAAAAACCCAATCGCCACTAGCCGCATAAATCGCCCAAATTAAACCCAATCGTCACTATAATTAGACCTCAACTGCGCACTCAGCCCACTCAAATTTTTCATCGTCTTCTTCACGAGAACCTTCTGATAAAATTCTCAAGAACCCTAATTTCTTCAGATCTTCTCACTCAAATTCCTAATATCCATTTCTAGAAGTTGGAAGCCAAGTGCAACTCACCAACTTTCTATCAATCCTATCTGGAGATGATTGTTGCTCAAGAGCTCTCCGAATTCCTTCATATGGAGATTCGATTTAAGTATGAGAACGAAGTTCTTGAATTCTACAAGAATGGAAAGGTCAAGACTGTCAAATCGAAGAAGGACCCACAAAGGACGATTCAAGTCATCAATTCCACTGTTGGAGGGACAAAAGTGAAGCTTTCGCAGAAGAAATTGGGAGAAAAGCTTCACCTTCCCAATTCTGGAGTTGAAATTGGGAGACTTCCAGCCAAGAATCTGGATTGGAACATTATTGGAATTT